TGGCTTAAAACTCACACCGGGCGTGTGTGCATGTGTGCCCAGGATCCCGAGAGGAGAATGGAGGAGAAGGGATTGCGGCGTGACCGTCCCCCCTGGGGGGTGATTTCTCGCTTTCTGTCTCTATGTCTCTCTCTGTCTGTCTGACAAGCGCATGTGCCCTATAGTGAAAATCTCTAAAAAAAAAAAAAAAAAAAGAGAGAGACAGAGAGACAGAAAGCGAGAAATCACCCCCCAGGGGGGATGGTCACGCCACAATCTCTTCTCCTCCATTCTCCTCTCAGGATCTTGGGCACGCACGCATACGCACCCGGCGGGAGTTGAAGTCACCGGGTCTGGGACTCGAACCGTGGTCGAATACGTCCAGTGACACAGCCATTACGCTAACTGTTGGTCCCCAAATTTTTATTAAAATAGCTTATTTTTCCTCTTCTGAACATTTACTTAAGAAATACTAATGATAATATATTATACAAACTTGCTAGCATAAATGCAAAAGTAAAAAGTAAGATACATACATATATGCCGGAACATAGAAAAGATTTATGAAGCAAAATGTGGAAAAAGAGCCAGTGAGTGGCTTTATCATAAACAAAGTAGGACTGGAGAGGGCAGACTGGGTTACATTTTTTGGTTTTACTTTGGTTCTTTCTGCATTGTTTGAATTTTCAGTACTGTGCATACATTATTACAATACAAACTTTAGTAATATTTTAAACACATTTCTGATGGAACTTTAATTTTTACTAACCTCCAGAGCTCTCTTGTAGTCACCCAGGTGAAAAGCACAGTATCCAATCCACAAGTTAGTATCCTCTTCTTGCTCCCCAACATGACGTTTGAACTTCAGATTTAAAAATTTGAAAAAAAAATCATGAAAAACTTTGACCAATAAACTCTATTAAAAAGAAAGAAAGTGGGACCAGCAGGTGGCATGGTGGTTAGGGCACTGGACACTCCCATATGGCTGATCACGGTTAGAGTCACAGACCTGGTAACTTGCTTTCTCACTTTCCCTCTCTCTGTGTGTGTGTCTCTCTCTGGTCAAATTAAAATAATTAACTCATTTAAAAAAAAAAAAAGTTATGCTAGGGCCAGGTGCGACTCAGTGGTAATGCAACTGGACTCACATGGGAAAGGTCCTGGTTTGTGCCCCAGGATCTCCCTAGCTTGCTGGTGCATGCGTGTATGCCTGTGATCTGGGCCAGGTGAGAGTGGGAACAATCATGGCATAAGGACCTCAGAAGTCCTACCTCTCTATTTCTGTCTTTCTCTTTCATAGAAGAAAGAAATAAACTTTTTCTAAAATGCTATTTTAAGTTATTGACAAATGATAGGCTATCTAAATAATAGAAACAAGCCAATATACTGCTTAATCAAGCATACACTGACAGTATCCAGCACAATTACCTTCTAATTGTCACATTAATTTACATTTTCAAATATTTTACATTTGCTTTTCTGTATTTACTGATACCTACTCCAGACAGTGTTTGAGCTATCTAACAATTCTGGGTGATATGAAAGGAGCAGAAGTATGTAACATATTTAAAGCCAAATAACTGATGGGTAGAGAGGCTGAATAATGAACCCAGGCCAAACAGCCAGTTCGTGTGGAGGCAGACACTCGAGGCAATGCCTGATCCCAAAGCCATGGTCTCACCCTCTATGGTCTACTGCATTCAACCCACTTCAATGCCTCTCCTCGCACACACATATACTTATTAATAGGTTATAAGCTTTCACTGAGACTAGCAACTAAATCATTCTAATACCCTTGAACAGGCTAGCTTATCAGCCTACAAGAGTTAAGGATGTCCAAAAGACTGGTCTCATTCATGCCCACTGTGAACAAATATTTGTGAATCTTCAGCCAACAAAAGTTAGTTTAGAGAAAAGAATAGGCTTCTAAAGGAGATTCTGAATTACCATTCTACTGGGTAATAAAGAGAGAATCAAGGGACCAGTAGATGGCGTAATGATTATGTCTCTGGAGTCCCACATAGTTGACCATGGTTCGAGTCCTGGACTCGATGACTTCAGCTTATGCGGGGTGCATGTGTATGCGTGCCTGATATCTTGAGAGGAGAATGGAGGAGAAGAGATTGTGGTATGGCCATCCCTCCTGGGGGATAATTTCTCCCTTTCTGTTTCTCTGTCTTTCCAGCAAGTGCATGTGCCCTACGGCAAAAATCTCTCAAACGAACAAACAAAAATAGTAAATTAATACAGATTTACAGAAAATTGCTACTGAACTGTGAGTGTCCTAGTCATTACAAAGCAAAGATATCCTTTGATACTTTCTTACCTGGGATATGAATTTACTGCTATAGGGCACGTGCACTCACTGGAGAGACAGAGAAAGACAGAGAGAAATCAATCCCCAGGAGGATGGTCATGCCTCAGTCCCTTCGCATGTTTTCCAAGCTGTTGGGTCCAGGACTTGAACCGTGCAGTCAGCCATGTGGGATCCAGCCACCACAACCTCCAAGCTATCTGCTGGCCCCATGAATTGTACACTTCATTTTTTTGTTTTGAACACGTTTTTGCCTTAGGGTGCGTGTGCTCTCTAAAAAGACAGACAGAAGGTCAGAAATCACCCCCAGGTGGGATGGCCATACTGCAATCCCTTCTCCTCCATTCTCCTCTCAGGATTTTGGGCATGTATGCACACGCACCCAGTGTGAATTGTGGTTGACCATGTCCAGTGGGAGTCCAGTGACGTAACCATTACACTATCTGCTGGTCCCAGCTTGGATAAATTCTTACCTGAGGTCTTCATAAATTTTGCCCCCAGAATTTCTTGGAGTCATAGGAGAAATCAAGAATTATCTTCACCTCCAATTATGCAGCTCCCACTCCCAGTAGCACAGCACTCTAGCTGGCTACTTAGGAGTAGTGTTTGGAAAAATGATTGTGGTACAACACAATCAGACCACATTCTCAACAAACACACTTCATCTTTTGGTGTGCCCCTATAGCATGTGCATCCCACAGAGCAATCTTCCCCCCAAATTATGCAGCTCCCACTCCCAGTAGCACAGCACTCTAGCTGGCTACTTAGGAGTAGTGTTTGGAAAAATGATTGTGGTACAACACAATCAGACCACATTCTCAACAAACACACTTCATCTTTTGGTGTGCCCCTATAGCATGTGCATCCCACAGAGCAATTTCTCAAAGTGCAGTCTCCTTGGACCAGTTACAGAAACATCAGAGAGCCTGCCTAAAATCCAGACTCTGAACACCACTGGGACTAAAAAAATCAGAATCCCTGAGGGAAGGAACTATGGAATATACATCTTAGTCAATATCCTAGGTAATTCCTTTGCTCATTAAATGATAAGAACTGGGGCCAGCAGATAGCATGGTGGTTAAGGCTCTGGATCCCACAAGGTCAACTGTGTAGTTCAAGTCTCAGACCCAGTGGCTTGAAAAACACACTGGGGATGTGTGCCCAAAATCCCAAGAGGAGAATAGATTGTGGTGTGGCCTTTTCCATGGGAAGTGATTTCTCATTTTCCTTCTCTGTCTTTGATAAGCGCACATGGCCCGTAGTACAAAGAGAGTGTGTATGTGTGTGTGTGTGGGGGGGGGGTGAGGGGGTGGGAGGGAAACTGTCACTGACAGTATCCAGCACAATTACCTTCTAATTGTCACATTAATTTACATTTTCAAATATTTTACATTTGCTTTTCTGTATTTACTGATACCTACTCCAGACAGTGTTTGAGCTATCTAACAATTCTGGGTGATATGAAAGGAGCAGAAGTATGTAACATATTTAAAGCCAAATAACTGATGGGTAGAGAGGCTGAATAACGAACCCAGGCCACACAGCCAGTTCGTGTGGAGGCAGACACTCGAGGCAATGCCTGATCCCAAAGCCATGGTCTCACCCTCTATGGTCTACTGCATTCAACCCACTTCAATGCCTCTCCTCGCACACACATATACTTATTAATAGGTTATAAGCTTTCACTGAGACTAGCAACTAAATCATTCTAATACCCTTGAACAGGCTAGCTTATCAGCCTACAAGAGTTAAGGATGTCCAAAAGACTGGTCTCATTCATGCCCACTGTGAACAAATATTTGTGAATCTTCAGCCAACAAAAGTTAGTTTAGAGAAAAGAATAGGCTTCTAAAGGAGATTCTGAATTACCATTCTACTGGGTAATAAAGAGAGAATCAAGGGACCAGTAGATGGCGTAATGATTATGTCTCTGGAGTCCCACATAGTTGACCATGGTTCGAGTCCTGGACTCGATGACTTCAGCTTATGCGGGGTGCATGTGTATGCGTGCCTGATATCTTGAGAGGAGAATGGAGGAGAAGAGATTGTGGTATGGCCATCCCTCCTGGGGGATAATTTCTCCCTTTCTGTTTCTCTGTCTTTCCAGCAAGTGCATGTGCCCTACGGCAAAAATCTCTCAAACGAACAAACAAAAATAGTAAATTAATACAGATTTACAGAAAATTGCTACTGAACTGTGAGTGTCCTAGTCATTACAAAGCAAAGATATCCTTTGATACTTTCTTACCTGGGATATGAATTTACTGCTATAGGGCACGTGCACTCACTGGAGAGACAGAGAAAGACAGAGAGAAATCAATCCCCAGGAGGATGGTCATGCCTCAGTCCCTTCGCATGTTTTCCAAGCTGTTGGGTCCAGGACTTGAACCGTGCAGTCAGCCATGTGGGATCCAGCCACCACAACCTCCAAGCTATCTGCTGGCCCCATGAATTGTACACTTCATTTTTTTGTTTTGAACACGTTTTTGCCTTAGGGTGCGTGTGCTCTCTAAAAAGACAGACAGAAGGTCAGAAATCACCCCCAGGTGGGATGGCCATACTGCAATCCCTTCTCCTCCATTCTCCTCTCAGGATTTTGGGCATGTATGCACACGCACCCAGTGTGAATTGTGGTTGACCATGTCCAGTGGGAGTCCAGTGACGTAACCATTACACTATCTGCTGGTCCCAGCTTGGATAAATTCTTACCTGAGGTCTTCATAAATTTTGCCCCCAGAATTTCTTGGAGTCATAGGAGAAATCAAGAATTATCTTCACCTCCAATTATGCAGCTCCCACTCCCAGTAGCACAGCACTCTAGCTGGCTACTTAGGAGTAGTGTTTGGAAAAATGATTGTGGTACAACACAATCAGACCACATTCTCAACAAACACACTTCATCTTTTGGTGTGCCCCTATAGCATGTGCATCCCACAGAGCAATTTCTCAAAGTGCAGTCTCCTTGGACCAGTTACAGAAACATCAGAGAGCCTGCCTAAAATCCAGACTCTGAACACCACTGGGACTAAAAAAATCAGAATCCCTGAGGGAAGGAACTATGGAATATACATCTTAGTCAATATCCTAGGTAATTCCTTTGCTCATTAAATGATAAGAACTGGGGCCAGCAGATAGCATGGTGGTTAAGGCTCTGGATCCCACAAGGTCAACTGTGTAGTTCAAGTCTCAGACCCAGTGGCTTGAAAAACACACTGGGGATCTGATGGGTAGAGAGGCTGAATAACGAACCCAGGCCACACAGCCAGTTCGTGTGGAGGCAGACACTCGAGGCAATGCCTGATCCCAAAGCCATGGTCTCACCCTCTATGGTCTACTGCATTCAACCCACTTCAATGCCTCTCCTCGCACACACATATACTTATTAATAGGTTATAAGCTTTCACTGAGACTAGCAACTAAATCATTCTAATACCCTTGAACAGGCTAGCTTATCAGCCTACAAGAGTTAAGGATGTCCAAAAGACTGGTCTCATTCATGCCCACTGTGAACAAATATTTGTGAATCTTCAGCCAACAAAAGTTAGTTTAGAGAAAAGAATAGGCTTCTAAAGGAGATTCTGAATTACCATTCTACTGGGTAATAAAGAGAGAATCAAGGGACCAGTAGATGGCGTAATGATTATGTCTCTGGAGTCCCACATAGTTGACCATGGTTCGAGTCCTGGACTCGATGACTTCAGCTTATGCGGGGTGCATGTGTATGCGTGCCTGATATCTTGAGAGGAGAATGGAGGAGAAGAGATTGTGGTATGGCCATCCCTCCTGGGGGATAATTTCTCCCTTTCTGTTTCTCTGTCTTTCCAGCAAGTGCATGTGCCCTACGGCAAAAATCTCTCAAACGAACAAACAAAAATAGTAAATTAATACAGATTTACAGAAAATTGCTACTGAACTGTGAGTGTCCTAGTCATTACAAAGCAAAGATATCCTTTGATACTTTCTTACCTGGGATATGAATTTACTGCTATAGGGCACGTGCACTCACTGGAGAGACAGAGAAAGACAGAGAGAAATCAATCCCCAGGAGGATGGTCATGCCTCAGTCCCTTCGCATGTTTTCCAAGCTGTTGGGTCCAGGACTTGAACCGTGCAGTCAGCCATGTGGGATCCAGCCACCACAACCTCCAAGCTATCTGCTGGCCCCATGAATTGTACACTTCATTTTTTTGTTTTGAACACGTTTTTGCCTTAGGGTGCGTGTGCTCTCTAAAAAGACAGACAGAAGGTCAGAAATCACCCCCAGGTGGGATGGCCATACTGCAATCCCTTCTCCTCCATTCTCCTCTCAGGATTTTGGGCATGTATGCACACGCACCCAGTGTGAATTGTGGTTGACCATGTCCAGTGGGAGTCCAGTGACGTAACCATTACACTATCTGCTGGTCCCAGCTTGGATAAATTCTTACCTGAGGTCTTCATAAATTTTGCCCCCAGAATTTCTTGGAGTCATAGGAGAAATCAAGAATTATCTTCACCTCCAATTATGCAGCTCCCACTCCCAGTAGCACAGCACTCTAGCTGGCTACTTAGGAGTAGTGTTTGGAAAAATGATTGTGGTACAACACAATCAGACCACATTCTCAACAAACACACTTCATCTTTTGGTGTGCCCCTATAGCATGTGCATCCCACAGAGCAATTTCTCAAAGTGCAGTCTCCTTGGACCAGTTACAGAAACATCAGAGAGCCTGCCTAAAATCCAGACTCTGAACACCACTGGGACTAAAAAAATCAGAATCCCTGAGGGAAGGAACTATGGAATATACATCTTAGTCAATATCCTAGGTAATTCCTTTGCTCATTAAATGATAAGAACTGGGGCCAGCAGATAGCATGGTGGTTAAGGCTCTGGATCCCACAAGGTCAACTGTGTAGTTCAAGTCTCAGACCCAGTGGCTTGAAAAACACACTGGGGGTGTGTGCCCAAAAACCCCAGAGGAGAATAGATTATGGTGTGGCCTTTTCCATGGGAAGTGATTTCTCATTTTCCTTCTCTGTCTTTGATAAGCGCACATGGCCCGTAGTACAAAGAGAGTGTGTATGTGTGTGTGGGGGGGGGGGGGGTTGAGGGGGTGGTGAAGAACTGCTGTCATAGAGATTTGAAATATTTTCTTTTTCTTTCTTTCTTTCTTTTTTTTTTTTTTTTTAAGTTTTTGCTATAAGGTGTGTGCACATAGTGGAGAGAGAGAGAGAGGGAAAAAGAGAAATCACCCTTGGGAGGGTATAGCCATGCCACAATCCCTTCTCCTTTATTATTCTGGATTGGGGTATACACGTACATGCACCAGGTGTGATTTTCAAGCTGCCAGGTCTGAGACTAGAACTGGTGTCAGCCATGTGAGAGTCTAGCACCTTAAGCACCATGCCACCTACTGGCCCCTGAAATATTTTCTAGAGATATAATACTTTCAAAACTAAGCATGGCAGGGAACCAGCAGTTAGCGTAATGGCTATGTCGCTGGACTCCCACGTGGTTGACCACGGTTCGCGTCCCGGACCCAGTGGCTTAAAACTCACGCCAGGCGCGTGTGTGTGCGTGCCCAAGATCCCAAGAGGAGAATGGAGGAGAATGGAGGAGAATGGAGGAGAATGGAGGAGAAGGGCTCCATCCCCCCTGGGGGGTGATTTCTCGCTTTCTGTCTCTATGGCTCTGTTTGTCTGGCGAGCACATGTGCCCTATAGTAAAAATCTCTCCAAAAAAAAAAACTAAGCATGGCATAATTATTTAAATTTGACCAACACTTTATAACATATAGAGATAAATCATAACTTAATCAAGGGTTGAGATAAACAATGTGTGAAATGACACTGCATTAAATATCTCTTTACATTTTAAGTTGGATTCACCATCAGTGGAACTAGACACAACCAACGGTGGCCATCTAGGAGGAACTTTTTTAGTTCATTTTTCACCAGGTTTCTGGAATCTAGAATCTGTACTTGGTTAGATTTACTGCAGAGTTTTTGAAGAAGCCCTAGAATGCACCCACCTGTTTCAACAGTGTAACAACCAGCAGTCACTCACTTATCTGTTGGGATTCAGAACTGATACTCAAAGATTGGCATTTGACATCCTGAATTGGAGAAACTACTTCAGAAATCTCTCCCTGGTCTTTTCCCCAGTCCCTACCTCTTGACTATCTTTGATCTTTTTCTCTCCTGAAATAAAGGGAAGGACATTACTCTATATTCCACTATCGACCGGTAGACCAGTTGGCCAAAGAAGAAAACAATTACCTTGGGACCAGCAGTTAGTGTAATGGCTATGTCGCTGGACTCCCATATAGTCGACTGTAGTTCAAGTTCTGGACCCAGTGGCTTAAACTCATGCCGGGCGCGTGTGCGTGCATGCCCAAGATCCGAGAGGAGAATGGAAGAGAAGGGATTGCAGCGTGGCCATCCCCTCGGGGGTGATTTCTCGCTTTCTGTCTTTCTGGTGAGTGCATGCGCCCTGTAGCAAAAATCTCTCCAAAAAAAGAAAGAAAGAAAGAAAGAAAGAAAGCAATCACCTTTTAGACTCCTCCCTAAGTCTCATTACCTAAACTCATATCTAGGAAAGAATTCTTCTTAGATATGAAGGAATGTCGACACATCTGGAGAGATTTTGTTACAAGCTATTGTCTGTCACCTGGACCCATGCTGCTACCAGGGAGAATAATTTACTCACCATTGTCTGAGCATTGGACCCATTCTTTCACCTAAAAATCATTTACAGTTGCTGAATGCTTTTTTTCCTCTCTCTTATTAGGAAGGTGTGTAAGCCACAGCAATGGCTCTTTTAGCTCATCATATTCTATAGCTCCAATATACAAATGCATACATTAAAGTAAACCTGAAGGCCTTTTCTTTTCTTTTTTTTTTTTTTTTAAGGGAGATATTTGCTATAGGTCCTGTGCACTCACTGGAGAGACAGAGAAAAACAGGAAAGGAAACGTCAACCTCCCCTCAAGGGGGATGGCAATCCCTTCTCCTCTGGGGAAATTTTGGGCATGCACGCACACATGCCCGCGTCAGTTTTAAGTCACTGGAGATCCGGGACTTAAATCGGTCGACTATGAGATTGGACTATGAGATTTAACGTGGTCGGGAGAGGTAACCATACAGCCATCTGCGGGTCCCATGTCTTTCTCTTATTATCGGTCTACGGTCCATGAATTTCAGCAGAACCTTACAGATTGTGGGGGAGGGAAGGGAATTTTCTGTGCTCCCACATGCATCTATAGTCTGGGAATTGCCTCCTAAGAAGCAGCATCTTTGGACATTACCTCCAACAGGGTAATAGCTCCAGTGAAATCTCTCTGCGAAAGTAGCTCCTCTAGTTTTGGAATCTTCCTACCTTTCTTCTTTCTTTTGTCAGGGTGAGGTAGGTCCCCGCCTACAGCAGGTTTGGCCCTTGACAGCATCTGTGAGGGAAACAAAAATAGCTGTGCGGTCCAATTCCGATGATCAGTTCTAAGATGAGTGACATCTCCACGATTTACAAGTCAAATGCTTAACAAAACCGCAGAGAAGCCTATTCAAACGCTTCCCGTAGCACATATTTTACTAAAGGGACCACCACCCTGTGCCCGAGCTAAACTCAATAGCTACCCGCAACTTCATCTCCTCGGATTGGAGGGCCACAGGGGACGCTTTCGCGCGGATTTGGTCATCTCAGCCTCCCCCATTCCACGCTCAGCTCAGGTGTGAGGAGACGGAGAAGGCAGAGAGGGGACAGCTGCATCCCTGTTCCCGAGGGAACACGAGGGCAGGGGAACCAGTCTCAGCAGACACACCCAGACACCCAGAAGTGTGCAGGGAAATTACTCCCGTCTCAGGACCTACTCAAAGTTCTCCCTCACTATTTAGAGTCACTGACCATCTTGGCGTCGGTCTTGGGAGCCCCTTCCGCAGGCAGACAGCACAGGCCGCGCCAGGGCGCGTCGCCGCATCCACACAGCACACTCTGTCTCCACGGCAACCCCGCGGGGAGGCGGGTCCGCCCCGCAGAAGAGCTCGCCCCAGAACCGGTGCTCTCCGCTTTTTAGTTCCGTGCCGCTGGAACTGAAGTATTCGTGGTCTGTACTTAGAGCAAGTTTGTGTCTCTATTTGTACGTTTACCTTAAGGAAATTCGAATGGGAATGGCATTGTTTTTTCAAATGCAGATTTCTTGGGAAAGGTAATTTTTAAAGGCCACTTCCGTTTTGGATCGTGCTGGGTTCCCTAGCAACCCCCAGTACTGTCCAGCGCGGGATCTCTGTCACCTGCTGCTGCGGAAAGGTCCTAGAAAAACATTGCTGCTGCACCAAAGCAGTTGATATCGGAGGCGGCGGTGCACCCAATTTCTTATTTCCTTATTACACACAAAATATCGAAATAAGTATTTGTTGATTGGACTTTATCTTACTCTAAACCTCGTTCATGAGGCTGCAAGGGTAGTCTTTAAAAATCACGGAATGCAGAAATGTTAGAGCTGAAACGGACTTTAAAAGACATCCGGTCAATCCGCTCAGGATTAACAGACTAAAGAACGAACAACTTGTTAGTTAACGAACAACTGGGGCGATATGAAGTAATCACCCGGGTATAAGTCATAATGGCATAGCTGAATCACATTATGTACCTCCCTGAATAACGCACGAATACCACAAGCTCACGGAACATGTGTATACTTAGACTCTTATGTACTCATCACGCCCCAGGCGCCGGCTTTTCCCCGCCCCACAATCACTTGGAGAGTAAATGAGTAACTATGAATTTTGACTCACTGACGTATCTACTTTTGTGTGTACACAAATGTCAGTATTAAAGACACGTCCAGACAAGCATGTACATAGGCTTCAGAGATGCACACATTGACTAGCACTGTATGATACTTAGAATGTTTTTGGTTCCAAGTTTCAGAAAAAAAATTTTTGGAGAGGTTTTTGCTACAGGGCATGTGCGCTCGCCAGAGAGAGAGAGAGAGAGAGAGACAGAAAGCGAGAAATCACCCCCTTCTCGTCCATTCTCTCAGGATCTTGGGCATGCATGCACACGTGCCTGGCATGAGTTTAAGTCATTGGGTCCAGGACTCGAACCGTAGTCGGCTACATGGGAGTCCGGCGACATAGCCATTATGCCAACTGCTAGTCCCCAGAAATATTTATACTTTTGGTTGAATGTAAAACAAAATTATTGTGCTGGTTCTGCACACCAGTGGTAATGCGATGCTCAAGAGAAGCCAAATCCTACATGGTGACCACAGTTCTGGTCCTTCCCTGGGTCGTCCTGAACACATATAAGGAGTATCCAAGATCCAGCAGATGGGAGGACTGGAGGAAGGGGATCACTGGGTGACCAGATCCTGTGGAGGGTCTTCTCTCTCGCTCTCTCCCTGCTCCCGCTCTTATCTGCATGCACATGTGCTATCATGAATAAAGAAAAAAAATTTTTAGCTTGTTTTGACAGAAAATATTCTATTTGTTTTTTTAAAAGAATTCTTTTATTTAATTTTATCCATTGTCATTATTTTATGTTTTCAAAGTTGACCAGAGAAAGACAGAGAGAAGGAAAGTGAGAAAGGAAGCTGCCAGAGCCAGGACTCGAATAGCCATGTGGGAGTCCACCTCTTTAAACATCATGCTATTTGTTTATTTTTTTAAAGAATTATTTATTTAGTGGGACCAGCAGTTAGCATAATGGCTATGTCACTGGACTCCCACGTAGTCAACTGTGGTTCGAGTCCTGGACCCGGTGGCTTGAACTCACTCCAGGCGCGTATGCGTGTGTGCCCAAGATCCTGAGAGGAGAATGGAGGAGAAGGGATTGCGACGTGACCATCCCCCCTGGGGGGTGATTTCTCGCTTTCTGTCTCTCTGTCTCTCTCTTCTGTCTGGCGAGCGCACACGCCCTATTGCAAAAACCTCTCCAAAACAAACAAACAAACAAATGAAAAATTAATTCGTTAGTTAGCTCCTTTTTTTTTTTTTTTTTTATTTTACCCGGAGAGGGAGGAAACGGACAACAAGTCTCCAGGTCCAGGACTTGAACTGCTATTGGCTATCCAGCACCTTTAATCACCATGCCACCTGCCAGCCCCGACAGGAAATAATCTATATCCATTTTTTGTGACAGTTTAATTAAAATAATGTTCAATCAGGGCAGCAGGTGGCACAGTGGTTAAGGAGGCTGGACTCTCACATGTTAGACTATGATTAGAGTCCTGGACCTGGCGGCTTGCTTTCTCACTTGCCTTCTCCCTCTCTGTCTCTTCCTGGTCAATTTCAAACTATAAAATAAAATAAAATGACAATGAGTAAAATTAAATAAAATAATTCTTTTTTAAAAAAAGAAATAGCATTCAACTATCAAATCCATCCTTTTAAAGTGTACAGTTCATGGGATCAATAGACGGTGTAGTAGTTATGTCACTGAACTCCCACATGACTGACTGCCGTTCGAGTCCAGACCCGGTGGGTTGACAATTCTGCCCAATGCCGGTGGTTTGACAATCATGCCCAATGTGTGTGCACGCATGCTCCAGATCCCGGGAGGAGAATAGAGGAGATGAAATTGTAGTATGGCCATTCCCCCTGGGGGGTGATTTCTCACTATCTGTCTGTCTGTCTCTCCGATGAGCACATACACCTTAAGGCAAAAATCTCTAAAATAATAATAATAATTTAAGTATACAATTTATGAGGCTAGCAGATGGCATGGAAGTTTGGTTGCTGGATCCCACATGGCTGACTACGCGCTTTGAGTCCTGAACCTGACAGCTTGGAAAACATGTCAAGTGTGTAAGCCCAGAGTCCCAAGAGGAAGGCAGAAGAGAAGGGATTGAGGCTTGGCCATCCCCTGGGGAGTTGATTTCTCACTCTCTCGAGAGAGTACACCTGTTCTATAGCAAACTAAAAAAATTTGAAAGTGTACAATTTCGTAGCTTTTAGCATAGGGTATTCTTAGTGTTATGTACATATTACGGCTATCGAATTCCAGAACATTTTCATCACCCTCAAAAGAAACCCGACTCCCATCAGCAATCATTCATCATTCCCCCTCCCTGAAGCCTCTTTCTTTATGGGGTTTGCGAATTCTGAACAGTTCATGTAAATGGCTTCATATAGTGTGACTCTTCATGTCTGGCTTCTTTCACTTACCGTAACATTTTCAGGGTTCATTCATGTTAACAGCATGTATCGGTACTTGGTTCTTTTCCATAGCTGATTAATATTCATTGTAGAGATAAGCCACATTTTGTTTAAATCTTCATATTATTTAAAGCACTTGATGCATGGAAATGCTCAGGGCCGGGCGGTGTTGCCTTAGTACCATCCAGTGCATGGAGTTCAGGCACAGCCTCAATCCTGCCCATCCCGGGTGGAGGAGTACTTGAGAAAGAAGCCCAAGCCAAGAAAGAGCTCTTAGACGTAGCCTGCTGCTGACCCTCTCTGCTTGCCATGCCCAGTCCTGCCCTGACTTTCATGCCCCGGTTTCAGGAGATCCCGATTTCTCTGTTATCTCTCTCCAGTGACATCTAACTCGCTAACTTGTTGTAACTCCTACTCCCTCTCATCTGCTCTCTTCATTTAATCAGTCTTCTGGTCCTCCAGTAGACGTGATTGCCTACCCTGTGTCCTCAAGCAGTCCACATACTTAGTGGCTTACAGTGATCAACACTCTTATCTTCCGCAGTTTCTGCTGAGTAGTCAGAAGTCCTGGATCAGTCAAGTCAGCCAGGGTGGGGTTGTAGTCATGTCATGTCGAGACCGGGGTTGAAGCGTCTCCTTCCTCTTGGCTCACCCACACGCTGGGGTAGTTAGCACTGGCTGTTGGCAGGATGGCATAGTTACCACATGGACCACAGGGCCATTTGGGTATTCCTACAACATAACAGTTGGCTTCCCCAGAGTGAGGAACCCTAGAAGCAAGGAGAAAAACACAACGTTTCTTATGACCTGACCTTGGAATCGCACTGTATGTTCTGTACTATCTGAGCACACACATCAGTCCTAGTCAGTATGGAAGGGAGCTGCCCGGGGGTACGACGATCTGGAGGCCAGTTGGCTGCCACGTCAGGCCATCATCACCAAAATGACCCCCGACTTTGGATTGCTGTACCCCCATTTCCTCTGCTCTCAGAGTTACCAGGAGGTTCAAAACCTGACATTTCTCATTTTAGCAGCACCCAAACAAGGTCTGTAAATATATCCTTAAAGACAGACATAGCCCATTTGTGTTTTAAAGTTAACCCCTTCACTTGCACTCACTCTTCCCAATTCAGTTCAGGCCTCCCTAGGGAAGCTTGCTGTTAGGCAGACATAATCTAGGTACAGCTCTTACACCTGCTCCGTCTCTGCCCTCCCTTGTTTGGGCTGGCTATTTAACTAAAGTCCCATATCTCCATGGAACACATGTGTGGCGTGAACTTTGGACATTCCATACGACTCAGCCCTCTGACATTCATGTGTTTTTGATTCCTATGACTTAGCACAGCTGATTCATCATAGCCCTTGTGTGTTTCGTTTCTAATTGGTGGTTTGAATGATTCTTATAGCTTTTTTCTTTCTTTTTTTTTTTTGAGAGGTTTTTGGTATAAGGGCACTTGCGCTCACCAGAAAGACAGAGAGAGACAGAAAGCGAGAAATCACCCCCCCCCCAGGGGGGATGGCCACGCTGCAATCCCTTCTTCTCCATTCTCTTCTCAGGATCTTGGGCACGCACACACACGCACCCAGCTTGAGTTTAAGCCACCAGGTCCGGGACACGAACTGCAGTTGACTACATGGGAGTCCAGCGACATAGCCATTATGCTAACTGCTGGTCCCAATGATTCCTATAGCTTGATACCACCTTGTGTGTCCCTAGCAGCTTTAGCTCTGTGCCTCAGAATTATTTCTTTGAACATTTTACATATGCCAGATCTTCTGGTAAAACAATAATACTGGATTGTCAGAAAAGTCATGACACTTTCTGCATAGAAGACATGTCAACACCCAGTAAATAATAAAACACTCAAACCAAAATGAACAACCCACAAACAATAAACAAACAAAATGAGAGCAACTAAAAAATAAACAAACAAAAAGTCTCTCTAGTTATCTAAACAATCCCTTCCCTTCCTTTCTTTCTACTCTCTTTCTTTTCCCTTACTTGTCTATCTAATATAAGGGATCCACACTCAGTTGCTCTTTTCCTTTTTTACTATTCCCACTTTGACTGTCAACCATACCATTGTGAGAAAACTGCTTTACCAAGTGAACTGGAATATAAAACCGTATGGGAGACTTTACTGACTTAGGGCTACATTCTCAGCATACAAAGTCTGGCATCCTCTCAAAGACCAGGGGATGGTACAAACTTGCTGCTGGGGCACTCTCCAAAGCTTGGGAAAGTGAGAGCTCATGAAGAGTGAGATTGAGGTGCCTAAATTTTCATGTTGGACCGCAGAAGAAAGGCCCAGCAAACTTAGAAAAGCAGACATGCTGGGCCCGCAGTTACATGGAGGTTAAGGCAGCTGGGTCCCACATGGCTGACTCTGACTGTCCAGTTCAAGACTCAGACAACAGAGGAGAAGGCATTGAGACATGGCCGTTCCCCCCGGGGGTGCTTTTCCACTTTGCCTCTCTTTCTCTCTGTCTCTGAGGAATGATTGCACCCTATGGTAAAAATTAAAAAAAAAAAAGGGGTGCTTTTTCATTTTGCCTCTCTTTCTCTCTGTCTCTGTCTCTGAGGAATGCATGCACCCTATGGTAAAAATTAAAAAAAAAAAAAGAAAGAAAGAAAACAGAAATTAGAAAGTCAGAGACAAGAAGGTCCAAGGTAAAGGGCATACGGGAGTGGGAACACTGGTAAGTATCTATCACAAGAGATGTGTCAATTACACAAAATAACTTGAGTGTTTAAGAGACCTTTGTCTCTTAATAAGGTCTCCTCCTTATTTCTGCATAGTGGGTACCTGAACACAGAGGCCATGGTGGTAAAGATGCATAGATTGTCACTTGCCAAAATAAATTTACCTACTGCCACCTCTGAATGTACAATCTGCCAGCGTGAAAGACCCACGCTAGGCTGGCTGGCTTTCTTTCTTTTTTTTAGGGAGATTTTGCTATAGGGTGTGTGGTCACTGGAGACACAGAGAGAGACAGACAGAAAGTGAGAAATCACCCCCTGGGGGGGATGGCCATGCCACAATCCCTTCTCCCCCATTGTCCACTTGGGATTTTGGACACACACACACACACACATACACACACACACGTGCCCGACATGAATTATTTTTTATTTTTATTTTTATTTTTTACTATAGGGCATATGTGCTCACTAGAGAGACAGAGAGAGACAGAAAGAGAGAAATCAGCACCCACCCCCACCCCCCTCCAGGGAGGATGGCTACACAGCAATCCCTTCTCTTCCACTCTCCTCTGGGGATTTTGGACATACACACACATGTGCCATCTGCTGGTGTGTGGCCGGCATGAGTTTTAAGCTGCCAGATACAGGACTCAAGCCTGGGTGGACTATGTGGAAGTCCAGCGACATAACCATTAGGCATCTGCTGGTCCCATAGGGAAACCAAGAGGCTACTTGGTGACCATTAGATTACGTTATGCCCTTTGGTCTGGAAGAGTCACACTTTGCTCTTACAGGGATAGACTTATTCTGGTACGGGGCTGTCTTTCCTGCCCATAGGGTCTCAGTAGCACCAGTATTTGGGGACTTAGAGACTGTGATCTACAGACATGGAATCCCATATGACATTGCAGCAGACCAGATGACTCCCTCTGTGGCACAGGAAGTAGGGGGAGTGATCCCACGAGCATGGAGTCCACTGGCCATCTCACGTACCTCACCACTCAGAGGTACTAGATAAGGGAGTGTGGGAGTGACTGAAGACAGAGCTGAAGCTCAGCCTGGGCATGACACATGACAATGATGACATGTCCTCCAGGATATTGTGCTGTGTGCTCTCAGGGCTCTGGACATGATCTCCCCAAAGAAAAGGCCTCAAAGGCAAAGCCATCTCCTTGACCTTTTCCTGCCCTCATTCTCCTTCAGGCAAGCCATAGAAACTAGAATCCCTCTTTTTCAAGATGGGTCATAAAAATTAGAACCCCTCGTCCCCCAAATCAGCATAAAACTTAAAAATATGGCTTTAACTTTGCCCTGCCTTGGTAAAGAAATTCTCTGACTTACGCTGTCTGATAGAAGAAAGACCCTCATTCCAGAAAGGTCAGGCTCCATTCCTGGTGGAAGGAATGCTACACGGAGAGGCCGAGAAGAATCCAAACAGACAGGCCTTTCTGGATTTTCTACTCTTCCTATTTCTATAGCTTGTACTTTTTTTTTGTCCAAATGCATTTCTATATACATGCCCCTAATTTACTGAATCTAAGTATAAAATGACATAGCCTCCCCTCTCTCTTTGAGAAGAATTAGCATGGAGAGTGGTGGAGGGTTATAATGAAGACCAGCAAGTTGTTGGGACCAATTGTGGTGACAGGTGCTATAGTTCATTCCGTTAACCCCCCTCTTTTAATTTTCCTTGCGGGAAGAGTGGCCTTGAAAGAGCTGCTCCTTGAATACAAGTGGGGAAAGTCATCCACAAGGTGCAAAGGGTACATTTCAGCTGACGCCAAGTGTCACTCAGGTTCCCCTTGAAGCCAGGGTATGCTACTTGCTTCAGGGAGTATGTGTAACTCATAGCCTCCAGTTTTAGTTCCTTCAGGGTCTGGCCCAGCGTTTCAGAGGAAGGCATGCACTTTTCCCACAGTCTGCATCAACAAGAGCAAAGCCCTGGGCTCAGGGCTGAGCCTTTTCTGCCCAAGGCTGGACTCCTACTCTGGAGCTCCCCATTGGCCAGGCAGAGGCTTCTTCAGCTCTGCATGGAAGTCTGACAGCTCTCACAGACCAATCAGGGTCACCTCTGGACTCTCTCTGGTGTTATGCCCCAAGGGCCTTCTACCCTCTTACCCACACACCTGTATCTCCTTCTTGGAGAGCCCACCCTGGAGAGCAATACTTCAAAAGATTCCCCTCATTTTTTCCCTTTCTACCATTCTTTAGGTTGTTTTTCATGTCTTCAAATCGAAGCGAATTTTATATCAGTACTACCAGCCATGCAGACCACATTGGACTCTTCTTTGATCTCCTGTGTACCCCCTGCAGCATTTAGTTGCCAATTCCCTTGGGGTTTAGTGTATTTTCACATCTTCCAACTCCTGCTCCCTGAGTGCAGGAGCTGTTTAACTTAGGCATGTGCAGAGTGACTAATGAAAGGGTCACAGAGAAGACAGTCAATAAACATGTTGAACTTAACTGACTTGATAATAAACGGTCTCTGGGGAACCTGTCAGACCACAAATAAGGCCAAGTGGATTTAGAAACTATAGAAGCAATAGCCAGAGGGAACAAGAAGTCAGATGACCCTGTGTGGGCCCCATGTTTGGCTGGTTTTCAGACCAAAGTACTCTATTCCTGATAGGCACAGTTCATTTACCACGGATGACCACACTGAAGAACATTCACACGAATCATTCTGAAAATTTTCTAACATGGCAACCAGATTCTGTTCCTTTTAAGAAGGTTTATTTTTCTTTGTCTTTTATTTAGAGGGTTTTTTTTGGTTTTGTTTGTTTGCCTTAGGGCATGTGCACTGACTGGAAAGAGACAGAGAGACAGAGATTGAGAAATACGCCCCCCCTATGGCTATGCTGAAAATCCCTTCCTGGGATTTTGGGCGCACACACACACACACACACACACACACACACACACTCTCTCCTGGTGTGATTTTCAAGTCACCGGGTCTGGGACTTGAACAGTGGTCAGCCATGTGAGAATCCAGCACCTTAACCACCACATCACCTCTGGTGACCCTAAAAGCTTTATTTCTTATCTGATCAATGAGCCATTAATTTTTTGGGAGTGTTGAAGGGGAAAAACCCTCTTCCTTCCCTGTTTTAGGGAGCCTGCAAAACTTTCAATAGATTAACAATTGAAAAGACAGGCTTTGTTTCATGCACTTTATACAGGAGCTTCCATGAATGGAAAACTCTCCGAATAGTCCCAAGTTTATATATCCCAACTTCACAAAAACCTTTTTTGGGGGGTGTGTGGGGAGTATCAAAAGTTCCATGGGGGTGGGGAACCAGCAGTTAGCATAGTGGCTATGTCGCTGGACTCCCACTTAGTCGATCCGATCCTGGTTCCAGTCCTGGACCCGGTGGCTTAAACTCACGCCAGGCGCGTGTGCGTGCGTGCCCAAGATCCCGAGAGGAGAACCGAGGTGAAGGGATTGCAGCGTGGCCATCGCCCCTGGGGGGTGATTTCTCGCTTTCTGTCTCTCTGAGGTTTTTGCTATAGGGCGCGTGCGTTCGCCAGACAGACAGAGAGAGCAATCCCTTCACCTCGGTTCTCCTCTCGGGATCTTGGGCACGCGCACACACACGCCCAGCGTGAGTTTAAGCCACCGGGTCCGGGACTCTGCGGTCGACTATGTGGGAGTCCAGCGACATAGCCATTATGCTAACTGCTGGTCCCTCCATTGGGCTTTTTAATGGTAATGGTGAGGGGCAGCCTGAAATCCCCTCCGAGGGAGGTTACTGGTATTGTATTTTACTTTAGTCAGATAATGAAAACTTAGGTAAGAGCCTTTTAGCACCTTCTATCCATACCGTTTTTTGTTTCATCCTAGTCTTTATGCTAACTCTGGGGAATCCCAGAGGGGCCCCTTGGGGAAATGTTCTTGTCTCACCACCTGGTGAGAGGAGCCGATCTGAAACCCTGGATTTGTCTGAGCACGCCCGTCTGTGACTTCTTGCTATCACGGGATTAAACGGAGGCTCGGACGCTGCTGTTCGCGACTGCGGGGAGGCAGGGCTGGATCAAGAAGTGGTTCTTCAGAAAGCAAGTGAAAAGGCAAAAAAAAAAAAGGGGGGGGCGGAGAGTCGCTGTTCTTTAAGAGTGCTCGGTGGGTTGGGAGAAGGCGCACGTCGGTCCGAGACCAGGCGGACCGCAAACGGGAGCCTGCGGGCTGGATTTGGGGGACCTCGATGGTGTGCTGGCTCCAGCTTGAAGACAGTACGCACTTGTTCCAATTATTTCAAGTACGGGGGAGGGGGACCGCGTAACCCCCTGGAGGTGAGACTATTCACCACCGCGGGTCCTGCTCGCGGGGGGCGCTCGCTAGGGTGTCTCCTTCCCGGAGTGGGCGGGGTGGAGGAACTAGAGGACTCCTCCAGAGGGCTCCCGAGCCTCGCCTCCTTCGCCCCAGGGCTGGTTTATGAGAACTCCACCAGAGCCCCGACATCACTTTTCGTTTCTCGGAGAAGAAGCCTCGCGGTGCCAGCTGGGGAACCTCACCCTCGCCGAGCCTAGAACAGAGGCGGGGCTCCCGGGAGGTCGCCGCCGTGCTCGGCACTTTCGCCCGCGCGCCTTCACTTCCTCGCCACCCGGCCGCGGTCGCAGCTGACTTTAAACCCGACCGAACGACCCGGTCGGTGAAATCTGGCCTCTTGACCCACGAGCGGAGTAGGAAACCGAAACCGCTGAGCTTGGCTAACGGAGGCGGAGAGCGCGCAGTCGCTCGCCCTGGGCGCGCCCAGCCCTAGCACCGCCCGCGCCCGCCCCCGCGCTCCGACACTTGTAAGTTTCGATTCTCCCCCGAGCCGAGTCCCGCGCCGCAGCCAGGCCAGTGCCGCGAGCGCGCCATGGCGGACCCGGAGGTGTGCAGCTTCATCACCAAAATCCTGTGCGCCCACAAGGGCCGCATGACCCTAGAGGCGCTGCTCGGCGAGATAGTGCTCTCGGAGGCGCAGCTCTGCGAGGTGCTGGAGGTGGCCGGGCCCGACCGCTTCGTGCTGTTGGAGGAGGGCAGGACGACCGGCGTCACCCGGTCGGTGGTGGCCGCCACTCGAGCCCGCGTCTGCCGTCGCAAGTACTGCCACGGACCCTGCGAAAACCTGCACCTCTGCAAGCTCAACCTGGTGGGCCGGTGCCACTACTCGCATTCGGAGCGGTGAGTACATGGGGGAGAAAAGGGCGGCTCCCGGTGGTGCTGGACGGGGCGGGGGCCTTCGGGCAGCACCGACAGCCTCTTCCTCTCGCTCCTCACATCCCTGCGCCCGCCCGCCGGGGAGCCCCTGCGGGCCCCGCGCTTTTACCCTTGGCGTTTCTTCCCTCCGGACCCTCCCTGGAATATGCTAACAGGATATGATATTGCCCGGCGGGAGACCTGGCTCAACCTCCACCTCCTTACCGTCCCCCCCACCCCATAAGAATCACAAGAATGAAGTGATTTTGGGCAAGCCAGGGCCTGGAGAAGTTGGTGGCAGGTTTGGGGACTAAGGAAAATGCCTCCACTATCCTGGTGTCTTGAGTCTTTCTTGGCTCCCGTCGTCCGCGGACGTAGTGCGATCTTCCCAGCTCCCCACCTGCACTCCACAGCCTGATCCGTCTCCACCGCGGGGACTTGCGAGTCTCTTTCGTCACCCCAGTCCTAGCCGTATCCATGCCCCTCCTGACCACTTTTCTCCTTTCTGGCGCCAATCCACACCACCTTATAGGAATGGCGCTCGGGGCTAGAAAGATGTAGCAGCCGTCGCCACTGCTCCTTCCCCACGCGCGCTCCGCGGTGGCCACAGCGTGGACCCCTCTTGGGACCACTCCCTTCGGTCAGTGCATGATAATGTGGCTTGTCTCTCAGGCAGCTGTTTCTGTTTCCATTTGCTGGAGGTTTTTTGGTTTGTTTTTTTTTTTTTTTAATTTTTTTCTTCCCCCTCCTAAGATATAGGTGTGCCCCAAGTTTGGGTTAAACCTTTGGATTTTTCTTGCCAATCTGTCCCTAAGAGGGCTCACCCCTTAAGTTCAGTTGTCACATCTACCAAGATGGCTTCCAAATGCACATCTGCTGCCCCTCCTACTACTGAGTCCAGGTTCTTCATCTCCTGGTGCCTGAAGAGCAGTGGTATCCAGTGTCCTGCCAATATTGTTCCACAGCTACTTTTAAAAAAAGAAATGCTGCAAAACCTATCCCATCCACATTTTTTGTTGCTGTAGGGCATATGTGCTGTGAGAGACAGAGACAGAGCAAGTGAGAAAGCGTCCCCCCCCCCCCCCCGGCCCCAGCCCCTTCAGCAGGCACACAGTTGGAGGGCTGCTCAAGCCTCCAAGTCTGGGGCTTGAACCTGTAGCTGGATATATGGAATGTGGTAGACTAAGCCTCCAGGTCATCTGCTGCCCCCCCCCACCCCTTTCTAAAATTTTTTTTCCAGAAGAGAGAGACACAGGCATTCCCCACAGGGCGTTTACCCCATGGACTCCAGGCTCAGCCAGCCGGGTCTGAGGCTGGCCTGGGCAGCCTGGGGCCTGGGCGACCCAGCCTCAGCAAGGAGGTCAGGGACTCCTCATATGGGTCCAGCTCCTTTACTGCCACTGCCTGGCCCTATCCCAACTTCACAATGCTCCACCTCCTTCACAATTTGTTAATCACGAAGGTTTTGTTGTTGTTTTAGTTTATTTAACTATTATCGAGAGAGAGAGAGAGAGAGAGAGAGAGAAAGAGAGAGAGAGAGAGAGAGTGAGCATGCCAGCCCTGGATCATGGGTACCCCTTAGCCTGCAGGAGCCGACCAGAACCTTCCCTCATGGGCCAGCCTCAGAGCGTCTGGCTCACTGCTGCCCCACCAATGGCACAGCCGAGTCTCTCGTTCCCTTCCTGTGGGGTTCTCCCTTCCCAGCTCACTTCCGAAGAATGATTTGTCGACTCGGTGAATGGTTCTGTCTGCCGTGGTCTCTGCCCCTATATTTCTGCCCCTGCGTACTGCCTCTCACTTTCTCCAGAACTTTGCACACCTCATACAGGCCACTTGCAATGCCCCAGTGTCTGAAATGCTGCTCATTACACTTCTGCTCCTGCTCCCGTTAGCACAGAAATGTAGTCACTCACCCCAACGGATATGTAATAAAAGATACTAAGGAGGCCAGCCAGGTGGTGCGCTGGTTAAGGTCGCTGGATCCTATGTGGTTGATTGTATAGTTCAAGGCCTAGACCCGTTGGCTAGAAAATCATGCAGGCACGTGTGTGTGTGTGCCCAAAGTCCCCAGGTGAGAATAGAGGAGAAGGGATTATGGTGTGACCATCACTGGGAGGAAGGGTGATTTCTCACTTTCCTCCCTCTCACTCTCTCTTTCTGGTGAGTGGACGTGCCCTGTGGGAAACTGAAACAAACAAGCGAGCAAACAAACAAACCCCCCAAAGGCTAGTGTTTTAAATGAATAAGGTAGATGAGATAATATTTTCTTAGAAATTTAAATAAGACACCCTTTCAGCTCACTCTAAAATTTAAAGTATTTGAATGTGCTTCTTTATTGATGTATGTGTTGAGTAAGTTGTTGTGAGGCAACCATTTGAGAGTGTCCCTGAGTTCAGGGAAGTTGTGTGCATAGTAACCGAGAAATCACTAAGGAGGGCAGGACGGAGTACGGAGGGAAGAGGGAGAGAAGGAACCGTCCAGTCCATTTCAGCGCTATCCTGAGTACAGCAGGGTTGGAAGGCTTCCTTGTCTTTTTTCTGTCATGAAAATTCCTCACCAACTAGTATTCCTCTTAGTTTTAAAAATGCATGCTTCTTATCTTTTAAGATTTTTATTATTTTTAAAGAATTATTTTAACTTTATTTATTATTATTATTTTCCAGTTTGATCAGACAGAAAGAAAGAGAGAGAGAGGGAAAGGGAGAAAGCAAGCCACCAGGTTCAGGACTCGAACCGTGGTCTGCCATCTGGGTGTCCAGTGCCTTTAACCACCACACCACCTGCCGGCCTCATCTTTTAATATTTTACTGTGGATATTTTTAATATAATTAAGTGTGCAATAGCATTATGTCTAAAATAAACCATGTACATACATCACTTAAAAAGTACTCATTGTTGCTTACATTCTCTACTTCAAAAATAAATAAATAAATAAATAAAATAAAGTAGGAAGTGCTCCGTGGCCGAGCCAGCTCTGTAGCCTATGGGATCCTGCATAGCTGAGTGTGGATTGAGTCCTAGCTGCTGTGGCTTGAAAAACGCGGAAGCTGCTGTGCATGCCCGAAATCCCAACAGGATGGAGAATGGGGAGAAGGGATTGTGGCAGAACTACCCATTGGGGAATGCTTCCTTCTCTCTCTCTCTAGCAAGCCCTTACTATTTGGCAATTTAAAAAAGAAAAGTATAGGGGTCAGCAGGTCAGCAGCAGGTTAAGGCCCTGGACTCCTACATGGTTCACTGTGGTTCAAGTCCCGAGACCTGGGGTCTTGTTTCCTCACCAACCACCGCCTCACCCCCCACCATCTGTGTCACTCTCTGGCGAGCCCACCTGCCTTATAGCACATTTAAAATAATAATAATAATAATAAGTAAAATTAAATAATTCTTGTTTTAGAAAAAGTATGGAGCCAGCAGGTGGCATGGTGGTTAAGGTGGTAGACTCCCACATGGCCCACTGTGGTTCAAGTCCTGGATCCGATGGCTTGAAAATCATGCTGGACACGTGTACGTGCATACAGAATCTCGAGAGGAGAATGGGAGAGAAGGGATTGTGGTGTGGCCATCATCACGGGGGTGATTTCTCACGTTCCGTCTCTGTCTCTCTCTGGTGAGCGCATGCACCCTATGACCAAACATAAAAAGAAAAAAAAAGCACTTTGTGGCTAAAAAATGCTAAGGATCATCTGAGCCTTCAACAAATTGCAGTCTTTTCCTGGTGCATGGTATGGCCTTGATGCCGATGGCTGCTAACTGATGGGCTGGTTGGTAGTGGCTGAAAGTTGGGGTGGCTGTGGCGAATTCTTAAAAGTAAGTGAGTCACATGATTAACTTTTCCTTTTACAAAAATGTTCTCTAGCATTTTACCCACAGTAGAACCTCTTTCCAAATTCGAGTCTTATCCTCTCAACCCTGAAGCTGCTTTAACAGCTATGTTTACTTAATAGTCTAACTCTTTTGCTATCCTTTCAACAGTGACCACAGTTTCTTTCCCAAGAGTAGATTCCATTTCAAGAAACCACTGTTTTTGCTTATTCATACGTAATTCCTTATCTGCTGACATTTTTTTTAAAAGAGGGGCTGGTAGGTGGTATATGGTTTAGAGTGCTGGACTCCCATATGGTTAACCGGGGTTTGAGTCCTGGACCTAGTGGCTTGCTTTCTCACTTTCTCTCTCTCTCTCACTCTTGTTCTCGCTGTGCCCCCTCTGGTCAAATTAAAATAAATAAAGTTAAATAAAATAATTCTTAAAATTTAAAAAAAAATTATTTTATTCCATGGTTATTTATTGTTATTATTATTTTTAAAAATTTGACCAGAGAGAGGCATAAAGAGAAGGAATGTGAGAAAACAAGCCGCCAGGTCAGAGGCTCGAACTGCAGCCAGTTCCGTGGCAGTCTAGTGCCTTAACCACCACGTCACACATTGACCCCAATCTGCTGACATTTTATCATGAGATTTCAGTGATTCATTCAGTCATGTATTCAGCCTCCGCTTCTGTTCGTTTGTTTGTTTGTTGAGAGATTTTTGTTACAGGGTGCGTGTGCTCACCAGAGAGACAGAGAGAGATGGAGAGAGAGAAAGCGAGAGAAGTCATCTCCTGGGGGGGATGGCCATGCCACAGTCCTTTATCCTTCATTCTCCTCTCGGGATTTGGGGCACTCACGCACATGCACCTGGGGCCAGCTTCAAGCCCCAGGTTTGGGACTTGAACCATAGTTTAACATGCGAGAGTACAACACCTTAACCACCACACCGCCTGCTGGCCCCAGCCTCCACTTCTGAATCTGGTTCTCTAGCTATTTCCATCGCATCTGCAGGTACTTCTTCCACTGAGGTTTGGAACCCCTCACCGTCATCTATGAGGGTGGGAATCAACTTCTCCCAAATTCCTGTTAATGTAGCTAGTTTGACTTCCCAAAGAATCACGATTTTTCTTAATTTCATCCAGAATGGTGAATTCCTCCCAGGTTTTCAATTTATTTTGG